CACAATGCATGGATTATTTGACTCATTGTATTGAAAACTCAGTACGTCGTTGATCCTTTTGAACTCAATAATTGGGCTGTCATTGTTTCACTCATCTCTTCTTTTCCTGCCCATAAGTAATAACTTTCCTAAGTCGCGTTTCTGTTGTGAAAAGTTTCACAATTAGATCGTGGAGCTGATGAATTATGCCGCATCGTGGAGCAATCGGGGTTCTTAGATGTGGAATTGAAACGTGACAGCAAGTAAAATCGAAAATAATGGTTTATTTGGTGAGAACGGCGCTCATATCTGCCGAATAGGAATGCACTGGAGAATAAGGCTATTGAATCTGCTTCATGCTTGAATCCCACTAAATGCAGCTTCCCTTAAACAGTAGTTCATTGTTTGCGTCTTCTTGCTTTACAGTCAGTGGGCTATAAGTACGCTAAGGAGACACTGGGCATATGGCAGGAGACCGGCGTCTACCAGCAGATGATTCCCGCGCTCTATAAACGCCCTCGCTCCGGTAGCAGCAGCAGCAGTGGCATAAGTGGCACTCATCGTAAATCGCGTTCTGTTTCTATTGGTGTGGCAGCGGCTCCACCGAAATTGGGCAAAGCAGCCACGGCCGACGAAACTGCCGAGCAGCCCTCCTCTTTACCTGATTCAAGCGTCTCTGAGATCTCTGTCAAACGCGTTAGTAACCCTCTATTGGGTTCGATTTCAGACTGACGCATAAATGGGAAACCACAACACTATCGGCTTTTTAAAGTTTGCTCGGCTTTTTACTCTTGGGGGCTGTGGTCACCTCTTTATTTATTCAACACTAAGAATTAGGAGTTTTTTGAGCTGATGACTAGGAAACCCCTCTTTCTTCGATAGTGCAAAGGTTTGAATATGTTGCCGAAAAACAGAGCTTACAGAACGTAGTTGAATGGAGTTTCATTTGTTTGAATCTTCTGTTAAATGCCTATGTTTCTTCGTGGATGTTTTTATTTTTCAAATTCAAAGATTTGATTGATTACTAATAATGGACCTTTCATTATAATCTGTCCTATGCGTCACATTTGCTTCTAATTCTCAAAGTACCGTTCAAGTCTA